CTCGGGATGATCCGGCAGATAACAGCAGCTGTTCAGGAGCAAGAGTGTAGCCATATGTTGCTGCTAACAAGCATTTACTGAAGCTGGTTTCTTTCTGTGATTCCCATGTGTCTGATTAGCGCACAGCTCCTCCGAGCAATTTTCAGATTTTTCTCCCTCCCCTTGCAAAGCTTTTTTTTTATTATTTTTTGGGGCATTATAAGCAAACCAGAAGATTGAGCATGAAATGGTGTTAAAAGCCACAAGCCACATGATTCTAAGATTAAAAAAAAAAAAATTAAAAATATCTTTTAATAGCTAAAAAGTAATCCACTTCATTTTAATTTCATATTTTTTGTGCTCAGAAACACACTGTTTATGTGGAATATGCTGGCCCTGCTGTGGTCCTGGAGGCTCTGAGATGCTCAACGACCAACTGCCTGCCCTAGGAGAAAGATTGATACTTCCGTCTTCTCAAGCCACGTTTCTGGACTGTGCCCGCAGGTCCTGACCCCTGCCCAAGCACTGGATGCTGTGGAAGGAAAGAAAATAACGGGTGGCTGTGAGACCTCGGGATGTTTTGCTGGGATTGCAGCAGGGCGTGAGACCAGTGAGCCCAAGTCCCTGGTCCCCAGGCTTGGGAGGATGGACTTGGACCCTTATTTCCCATTGCATTCCCAGTCAAAACAGACCGGGAAGAAGTTAAACCAACCAAGCTGGGAATGGTCCTTGGGCTTCACCAGCATCTCGTCCTCCTGGGAGAGGTTTTGCCAGGGACAGTCCCATCCGCTGAGCAGAGAGGAGGGAGCTGCAGTGCTGGGAACATCCCTCCCCATGGTTAATCTTATCTCACAGTAGCTATGGGAAAGGAAAGCAGTTTAGTCCGAGCTAGCTTTTCCAAACCACACCAGTAGGTAGGAGATAGACAAGTGCTGTTGAAGGTGATTCATCCCACCCTTGGGAGGTCCAGCGTAGGTGGGGTGAATCACCCTCCAGCAGTACTTGCCTCCCTCCAGAGCCAGAATGGCTTCAGAGGAAGACTGGAAATCACGTTGCAGGTTAGGACACCCCAAGTTGAAGCATCAACATGTAGGTGTCTCAATGTGCACGAGGTGTCTGTTACTTCACTTCCAAATGGCAGAACAACATGGGGTGAGTCCAAATGTTCCCACCTGCAACCTATTTTCCAGGGTTTTGCACCTCTGTCAAAAACGACAGCGAAATTCTGCAGCTCCTTAGTGGCAACATGAATTAGATGATCCTTTGAGGCCCCTTCCAATCCCTAACATTCTGTGATTCTGTGATTCTGTATTTACGGGGCTGGCGTTCAGGTCAGCATAGAGCCACAGAACGGTTTGGGTGGGAAGGGACCTTCAAAGGTCACCTAGTCCACTCCCCTGCCATAAGCAGGGACATCTTCCACTAGATCAGGTTGCTCAGAGCCCTGTCCAACCTGGCCTGGGATGTTTCCAAGGATGGGGCATCTACCACCTCTCTGGGTAACCTATCCCAGTGTTTCATTACCCTCAGAGTAAAACATTTCTGCCTTATATCCAGTCTGAATCTCCTCTCTTTTAGTTTAAAGCCATTGCCCCTTGTCCTAGTGCTACAGGCTCTAATAAAAAGTCTGTTCCCATCTTATGAGACCCCTTTAGGTACTGGAAGATGCTGGAAGGTCTCCTCGGAGCCTTCTTTTCTCCAGGCTGAACAGCCCCAACTCTCTCAGCCTGTCTTCATAGCAGAGGTGCTCCAGCCCTCGGATCGTTTTTGTGCTCTCCTCTCGACCTGCTCCAACAGCTCCATGTCTTTCCTGTGCTGGGGACCCCAGAGCTGAACACAGTATTCCAGGTGGGGTCTCAGGAGAGCAGAGCAGAGGGGCAGAATCCTCTCCCTCGACCTGCTGCCCACGCTGCTTTGGATGCAGCCCAGTGTTGATGGATACCTGCGCAGCCATGGTGAGATGACAAACAAGAAGCTACCGCACCATGAGCTCAGAGAGAGCCCCGCGTCCTTCCAGGCCAAGACTTTGTGCTCGCCATGCCCATCCCAGCGGATGAAGGGGAGAAGAGCCCCTGGAAGGCACCTCCACCCTTAGCCAGGCTCCCACGTGGATACCTGTGGCTTGGAGTCACCGCACAACATTGAAATGGGAAGAAATAGGGTTCACTCTAGTCCTCCCTCCCCATCCCAAAACGTGATTGCCACCAGCACCCAGCTCCATCCAACCCAACCCAGCACAATGCGGGAGAATCAACCTTAACTCGTTCATCGTTTTCAGCATCGCAACACCAACAGCCCCATCAGGCTGGAGCCCGTACCAGCTAGATGCTTAATTAATGTGTGATTATTCTGGCTTTCCAAAAGGTGCCTTTGGAAAGCACCAAATTTGTGTGTCTGGCAAACATCCGTAGACCTGAGGCCACGGGGATGGCCGCGCCAGCCCGAGGAGGGAGGCAGCTCAGCATCTGCAGCGGCTTAGCCTTCTCAGCATGGCCACAGGCAAGAGAACGGAGTCCTGGCAATAATTTAAGAGCATCAATTAATACGGTTTAATAAATACACAAAACGATCTAGTCTCTTTTTTTCCATCCACTTTCTACCATCAATGAAAGTTAAGGGTGATTGTCCCGAGAGTAACTAAGGCAAATTTGCACATGTGTGTGTATGTGTGTGTTTCTCCTTTTTTGTTTTGATTTTTTTCCCCATTGTTTTGTACATAAAGCAATCACATAAAAATAGTTATAAATAGAAAAATTGCAAAGGTTTTTCCCCCCTAGACAAATAGGAAAAAAAACCCCAACCAACCCAACAAACAAATCGAGACAGAAAAACCACCTTGCTTCAAGTCCTTGTAGATTATACAGTACTCAGCATCTTTGGATACTTTACAATGACTCCAAATCGTAGACAAAAAAAACACCTGAAGTAACCAGTCATCTGCAAAACGTCGGTTGTGTAAGAAGTTGATACGGATTAAAAAAAAAAAAAAAAGTTTGATGCAGTCTTAAGAAGTTTTCTTTTTTTTTTTTCCCCCTTCTTTTTCTTTTTTCTCTTTCCTCTCCATTGACTTGTTGCACGCGGAGTCTTTGTGGGCTTCTTTTTGGAGGAGGAAACGAGCGTTGGGCAGTTCCTTGGGATCATCCTGCTACGGCTGGTCTCAGAGTAGAAGTCCTTCATGCCCTCATGGGGGGCTGTGTATCCTGGACCTCTTATGTTCCCTCCGTGCTCCAATGGGGAGACCTTCATCCAGCCAACACTTCAGAGCGGCACCACTGATGGGCAAACCAAAAAATTAATGAACCCACAGTTCTCTTGTTCCCTTTGATTCTGCTGACGTTAAAAGGTAACAGTAAAAAGAGAAAGAAAAAGCCCTAATTTGTAACATTTACATTTTCAAGTGCCGGTTTCATGTAAAACCAGCTTCTTGGGCACCCACCGCAAGCCATCTCTGCTGGTGGTGAAACTGGGGTCCCACCACGTCTAAGAGGAACCATCGTTGGCAGATGGCTGTCAAAAGCCTTTATCCTCAAGAGTAGCTCACGTTTTTATAGGGCTGAAGGAGGCTGATGAGGCGACTCCAGCCAATCCGCCACTTTTTTGGCCTCAAAAGAAATATTAGATACAGGTGGCCAGGCCATGGTCTGTGGGGATGCTGGGGAGGACCCCAGACCTGGTGGCCACCATGGGCAACCTTCAGATTGGAACACCCCATCATATGTTACTGCTTTATCTTTTGAACCAACAAATGGTGAAGAAATAGTATTTCTACTTGCTTGCAAGTAGATAATCTCATCTGCAGGAAACCTTTCATGGACTCCGCATCCACAAAGATCCCTTGAGACAAGCAGCAGGGATATCTCCACACCCAATTTTTCCCCATCGACATTGCAGATTCGGGGACACTCAAGTGTTTTGTAAATTTTTGTCATCAAAATACATACAGGAATTATGGGGAATTAAGGACAAACCCCCAGACATTTCAGAACGGTCAGCGGTGGTGAATTCTGACTCTTTGGTTTGAAACTACTTTTTCATTTCAAAATTCCCACATGGTTTCTTTTCGCAAAGCAAGGGTTTAAAAAAACCTCAGGATTGAAACGTTTCCGATCCTTCCAAAAAAATTTCCCTTCACCCTTTCAAGCAAACGAAGTTAAAAGACGCAAAATAGGCTTTGGTTCTCCTCCTGAAATTTCGAAATGGCCGAAGAACCAAAGTAAGTAAAAATCCCCTTTTCCACTCAGCTTTGCTCCTAGGTGATTTTGTGTGTCTTTTTTTTTTTTTTTTTGTTATTATTTTTTTAGGGTCCCAACTCATCCTGCACAGGATGGCTTTCACCAGCCCCACAAGTCTGATATACCACGGAGAAAGGTGACGGCCAGGATCGTCCCTCTCCCAGCGTGGCTGCTTGACCCTCCTCTTTGTCCCTTGCAGAATAAACTTTGTTGTCAAACATGGAAATCAATTAAAAGAAAAAAAAAAAAAAAAGTCCTTTTGACCAAAAGGGCCAAGGAATGTAACATATCAAAACCAAGTCTGGACGGCTTGTTGGTGTCCAGCAGGCCCTGTGGGTGGAAAACGGGGAACATCTCCCCCAGAAGAGCCATCTCATGGTGATGGCCGTGCCCTGGACTAAGGCAAGTGACATTTTCAGGAGCGTTGAAGAGAGCAGCAGTCCTGGCCTGGCCTTCCCGGACGGAGCTGTGAGCAGTGGGAGGCTGGATGGGCAGCGAGTGCCCCACAGCCCCAAAGCCAAGTGCATCACAGAGTCTAAAGTGCCAGTGGCCATGGGGTGCAGCACCTGGCCACCCAACCGCTCGCCCCGGGGATGGCCCTGTGCCCCACGGCCCATGGCAAGCCATGGCGATGCGGGGACAAAGAGCTTCTTGGGAGCTGGACAACGTGAAAGGGCAGGTGGGGACCCTGAGGGAGCCAGTCACTGTGTTGGGCAGAGAGCGGACCCATGGTGAGGCTGGATGTGGGGCTAG